CTTTTTGAATTGTTCGAGACAGTCAGTTGTATTACAGTAGTTATTTGGCAAATTAGATGTGTTAATAAAATTTCCATTTGGGATTTAAAAATAGGTTGTTTTATTGTTTTAAGGGAAATTATTCAATTGTTTCTTACATTATTTCAATTCTTTCTTGTAAAGAATAAACCATTGTCAAAATTAAATTGTCAGTACACAACGAAACCAATAATCTACTAATAATAAATTGTTTTAATTTACGGTCAAAAATATCTTACGCAAAAAACATTTAAGGTTTTTTGCTAACTTGTTTATCTCGGTATTTATACTCATGCATTTTAATTCAATATTTTTAATTTTTTTCCGGTTTCTAGGTTGTAACTTTGTGAAAAATTAATCCGATTTAAAAAAATAATGTGTCAAAAGATTGGAAAAAAAGAGACCTTTAGGAAGAGCTATCACATGATACCCCTTTCTATTTAAAATTTTAGAAGTGATATTCACCACCGCTTAGGGGATGAAACAGCACGGTTACAGATACTTATAAAATGTTTCCCCCCGTAAATATAAATTAACGTGTTTTTTTGTTTTAGAGATATTTTAAAAGTTATTTTGAGTGGCTAGTTTTGAAATGAAATCCCTGTATAAACTTTACATTAAATCCATTTTTAATTGTAAATAATTGTTTTTCCAAAAATTTGATTTTAAGGTCTATTTGATTGGACTATTACATACATGTGTGCAATTTATTCATTTTAGAAACTATACAGCAATACAATAGTAATCATATAAGAATTTCTTTACCTTGATTCATTAATCCAGAAATGACTCCTATAAAGCAAGACGGTATTGATATATTGGGTTCAGCGGAGTTAATTCTTTTCAATATTCTGCCTGTTACCCATGTGACAGCTGTCAATAAAATAAAAGAACTCGAAGTAACCATCCATAGTCGATTGGAAAATGGTGTTATATAGCACATGGAACTTATTTCTGTTTCAGGTGATTTCATATAAAGATCATACCTAAAAATATATATTATATTTGACAAACAAAAAAAATTATTTAATAACATATGTACAATATATCCAAACCAAAGAATATAACAATAACACATATAAGAATAAGATGGTATACATTTTTCAAAACTAAATAATTTAAATGAATAATCAATGTTTTAATAAAATTAAATGCATAACTTTATGGACGCACCATCATCCTAACTGAATGTGTAGCACTCCAAAAGTCAAAGTCACTATATCTAGGAGGATATCAAATATAAGAGGGAGATTTACCTAACTTGAAAAATCATCGATGAAAATAAATTAGATGCCACCAAAATATATAATGCAGACGAGTCAGGATTCTCGACAGTCCAAAAAAGTACGTAGGTGGATCAAATATAAACAAGCCTTCGTTTATAAACTATTTATTTTAAAATATGACACCAAACAGATTTTTTTTCTACTTTTCTACATATTCCCTTTCTCTGTTAATACACTTTTCCCAACGGATTGGCAGTTTCTTAATCCCGTTTTCATAAAAAGAAGGGGGGGGGGGGGTAGCTAACCAGTTGAGCACAAAATATCTCCACCTATTCATTGGTCTGAAATCGCTCGCCTCCCAGTGAATCTTTGAGTGGCCCAAACATATGAAAATCACATGGTGACAAATCTGGACTGTATGGAGGGTGTTACAGCACAGTCCAGTGCATTTAATTGATTTTGGCCTGTGTTAAAGCTGCTGTATGAGGTTTAGCGTTGTAATGCAGGAACAACACGTCTCGGATGGGGTGTGCTCTCCTCTTTTGACGGTAAGCAAGCTTTACCTGGTCGAGTAAGTTACAGTAGTAAGCCGCGTTTATTGTTCTTTGCTCATTCAAAAAATCTACCAATAAAACTCCTCTCCAGTCCCAGAAAACGGCGGCTAAAACTTTGCCTGCAGACAGACGAGTATTCGCCTTCACTGGGTTTGGCTCGTCTTTTTCTCGCCACTCCATGCTTGCTCGTTTTGTACCAAGATTTTACACGTGCCCACGAAAGCGTTTCATTCCCGAACTGGGTCCGCAATCTGCGTAGAATTTCAGCAGGTTTCACGTTTTCGTGCGTAAGATATTTAATGATAATTATTTGCGCAACACTGCTATGTACCCTTGTATCGCTCATTGCGATTGCTACTGGCCAAATGAGAATCGCGCCACTACCAGCCGCTTACATGCTGCTGAACATTGCTACTCCAATATTATAACAGCCGCGTTCATCTTGAATGACTTTTCCGTTTATAATTTTAAAAGGCTTGTTTATATTTGATCCACCCACGTAATCAAAAAATTTTAGCCAAAAAGGGCACACATCAAGTTGGTACTATTGCCAGAGGAAAAAGACGTGTCAACACTACGATGGTTGCTTGCGCAAATGCCTCAGGTCAATTTGTCGCACCAATGATAATATTTAAGAGAAAACGAATGTTAGCAGAACTGACCATTGGAGCATCACCTGGTTGTTTGATGGAGATATCACACACAGGCTACATTAACTCTGAGCTATTTGTTACTTGGTTAAAAAAAAATTATTGAATTGATTAAGCCTACAAAGGAAAATGAAGTTCTTTTGGTATTGGACATTCTAAAAATTATGATTCTATAGTTTTGGTCCGTGACAATGGTCTAATTATTTTACAATTACCAGGCCACATGACCCATCGGCTTCAACCCACACATGTTTCGGTTTTCAAGCCTTTAGAAACATACTATAACCAAACCATTGAAAAGTGGTTAAGACAGCATGTTGGAATGGGAGTTACGCAATTTCATATTGCTTCTCTTCTTAATGAAGCTTATGGCAAAGCTGCTGCTATTGTAAATGCTACGAACGATTTTCACAAATGTGGGATATGGCCTGTAAATAGAGATGTCTTTTCTGATGCTGATTTTGATTCTTTAGAACTATTGACTGATAAAAAAAAATATTTCAATTGAGACGATGCCAATAGAAAATTTGGAAGAAAATTTCAATATTAGAGAGCCACCACAAATTCAAGTTTTGGTAGATGTTAACAGAGCAGATGACGTCGTTAACACTGAAAAAATCGATAGACAGGCAACCAAAAATTTAAATGTGTCAATTGTAGATATTCTTCCTTTACCTAATGTGAGTGAAGCTAAAAAACAGAAAATGGGTAAGAGCGCACAGACGGCTGAAATTATTACATCCACTCCCTATAAAGAGCAACTGGAAGTAAAACAAAATGCCGTAGAAGAGAAGAAGAAAAAAGCTGTTAAACGAAATTTTGGGGTTGAGATGTCACAGAAACCAGCAAGAGAAAAATCAATTTCGAAAGAAAAAAAGAGGCCAAAAAAAGAAAATTCTCAAATACAATACGACTTACAACAACCATCATCATCATATTTTAGTATCCGTAAATTATGACTGCAAGATTTGTAAGGAATGCTTAATAGAAGATATGATTCAATGCATAAGATGTAAAGAAGAGGTACAAGAATCATGTGCAGATGCTTCAGACAATTACATATATGTGATATGTGCTCTTAAACATATTGCAGCATTTTTTTATACCAAAGAAGGTCGTTTTCATTTTTTTTATTTTAACAGAATTTATAATTGTTTTAAGTTTTTTCTTGTTGTTGAAATCTTGTTTTATTTTTAATATTACTAACTAATAAACTATTAAAACTTGTGATTGATTATTTCAATCCAAAATAAAATATATATGTAATAAGGGACAGTACAATTTAGGAAACCATCTAGTACATCTAGTTGCCCTTAAATACCACTTGTAAAGGTTTTAAAAAAATGAAATTTGAACCGAAAAACATTATTCTAAAATTTTGAAAAAAATATATAATGTTTTCAAAACTGTAATGAAAATTATGAAGTAATTTAAAGTATCATTTTCTAAAATTTGTAATTGCTATAACGAAAAACGTGAGAACTGGTCCAAATTGGGCAACCTTACCCCATCAAGAATATTGATCTTTGTTATGCTACATCCTGTTGACAGGTCTCTAAACGTCATCTTTTGAAATCAAGTTACTTTTATTTTTACGTAAACATCGTTTCTACTCCCCCCAACTGGGCCACCTAAGTTAGGTTAGGTTGACAGTTGACGTATTGGTAGGTTAGATGCCTTTTTCAGATGTCTTTTCCCAGGTTAGATGACTCTTAGGTTAGATGACGCTCAGGTTAGATGCCGTTTTGGCAAAATGGCGCTTCGGTTAGATGACTTTTGACCAACATGGTGCTTCGGTTAGATGCATTTTCCCAGGTTAGATGCCTTTTTGGCAAAATGGCCCTTCGGTTAGATGCCTTTTTGACAAAATGGCGGTTCGGTTAGATGCCTTTTCGCAAAATGACGAAAATGGCCTCGTTCACGTGAACGCCATGTCTCGGAGGTTAGCTGTTTTTGCTGTTGTCCCATACGAAGGTTGTTCATCTACTGATTGTAGTATCATCAGCAAATAGAGCGAAACTTCCTGAGATATTTATTTTACCTAAATCATTAATACAATTTAAAAAAAGAGGGTGGGCCCAAGAACAGAACCTTGTTGGATACCCCATTTTATGTCACTTGTCACAGTTCGGACTGTTTGCAACCTCTAAAGTAGGATTGCATCCAACTCAAGGTCACATCTCTTATATCGTAAGCTTCAAGCTTTCGCGGCAATACTCAGTAGTTTATGCAGTTAAAAATTTTAGTCAGGTTATAAAATACTACAGCTATAACCTCATTGAAATTTATATTTTGTCTAGACCTATTCTAAACAAGAAAAAACAGCATCAGATACATTTTTCTTATGTTTAATATCGAACTGCAATATATTATTTTGGTCTAGATATCTAACTAGTTTTTACACAAGTTTTTTTTAATAATTTTTCCCTATGTCGGAATTGTGCCTAAAATTAGACGGCTCAGTCAAGTCTCCTCCCTTATATAATGAAACATTCGTTTTAAGAATAAGAGGAAAAGTTCCTTCATCAAAATTTTTATATATTAGTATGGATATTTATATAGACAGGAAAATCATATCGTGAAAATAAAGAACTTACCAGTTGATAATGTATGGTTGAGAAATTCGAATGTTTCGTCTAATATGTCTATTTGCAACTACAGGTGCAACAAATATATCTGATTCACCAGTTTCCGCTTGTCTAATTCCTTCGTAATAAGAAACAGACGTTAAAGTATAACTAAAACAAATACAAAATCATGAATAAATAAAAAAATCTATTTAAATATTGCAAGTGTGTATAGTAAACGATTACGTCATATATAGTGTTAAAAGGCAAAAAAATAAAATCTACATTTTATCTACGCACTGTATATTGCCCTAATATAGGTATTTAAAAAACAGATATTTCAGAATTTTACCTAAACAAATTATTATAGAGCAGCACTTTTTTCTATAACATCCTTATTTTTGAAATAAAGAAGTGATCGTGCCCCTTCTCGATTTAGACAAAAAACTAGTTTTACTACAATAACATTATTTTTTTTGTAACATTTGCATCACCGGTCTAATCTAATGCTGCATTATTATTTGTATGTCGTACTGTTCAATCATTATATTCTTAATACCTAGTTACCAATTACCTAATGTTATACTTTATGCCCGTGCGATCATTAAGTTCACTTTATATCCCGTGAGGGCATAAACACAAATAACATTTTTTTTAACCTAACTTATATGATAAACATTTATTATTAAAATAAATTATGATGTAAAAGTAATATGTTAAAACTTATCAGAGCCTGAACCCCTGTATATTAATTGGAAAATTGTTTTTACTTAGTTATTCTATTAATCATAGGAGAGAAGTACACAAAAATATAAAATTTTTAAATATATGTTTATATAGATAGTCAAATTAGGCGATGTCTAAATATATATACGATAGAGTTTAGTGAAACAATATTTATTGAGTACCGTATATAAAGATTTATAGAAAATAATTACAAACTACAAGTTTCTGTAGATTAGATTAGATTAGATTAGGAGTTGGACGTTATTTGTCCTTGTCCACCGCGACCTTTTCAGATCTATTGTGGGACTCCGTTTGTTTTAGAGTATGTCGTCTAGCCTGGTCTTTTTTATTAGACTTAGTAGCTTTGACAGTGGCTCCCGCATGTAGTTGCATGCAATTGGCTTTTCTTCGCCCAGTGTTAGAAACCTCATTCCAGCCAAGCCTTCACATTGGCACAGGACGTGGAATGATGTTTTCTCTTCTTCTTCACAGAACCTGCACAAAATTGCTTCTTCTGCTGGATTTATGACACTCATGTGCCTTTTATGGCGACAGTGTCCAGTAAGAAGGCCTACTGTTATCCTAACGATTTGACGTTTTTGATCCAGTAGCTCTTTCGTAAACTTGGCCGATGGTTCCTTGATGAACTGTTTGGCCTGTCTCAGTCTTGGATAGTTGTTCCACTATTCCTGAGACTCTTTTTGCATCCATTGTTTAATGGATGCCTTGCACAATGCTTTAGCAACTCCACAGAAGGGTTCAGGGCCTGTCATGGCCTTATCTGAGCCTTCTCGGGCTAATTCGTCGGCCTTTTCGTTGCCCTGATATCCCTCATGGCCTGGAACCCAGGCTAAGGTCACCTTATTTTGACTACTTAGCTCTGTCAGGTCTTCTAGACAGTCTTTCACCAGTCGTGATTTGATTTTTGGTGAGAGAATTGCCTTTAAAGCTGCTTGGCTAACAGAGTATATGGCAATAGTTTTACCTGATACTTGCTGATTTAATATTTCTCTTGCACAGTGTTGTATGGCTATTAGCTCAGCCTGGAACACTGTTGCATATTTTCCTAAGCTTAGTGAAATCGTTGATTTCGACTTAGGTCCATAGATTCCAGCACCGGCTCCTTCCTTGGTTTTTAAACCGTCTGTGTACCAGACGAGTTCAGCCTGTACGGGAGGTCCCTGTTTCCAGGATTCTCGGGCTGGTATTTGAATTTGAAAATTTCTTTCAAATTTGTATGTGGTTATGGCTCTTATCAGTAGGCATAACTACAATATTATCCCTTGTTACTTGCTGATATAGCCTTGTGTGGTCGGCGCTATGTAGTTGGCTTATTGGGTTTTGTCCCTGCATTAGCCTGTGAATAGTTGACCTGGTTTCTCCTTGTATGAAGATGTGCAATGGCGTGAGATATAGTAATACCTCCATTGCTGCGGTCGGCGTAGTGCGCATGGCCCCAGTAGCACTTAGACAGGCAAGCCGCTGAATACTAGTGAGTTGGCCTATTGCACTTGCCTGCGCAGTTTTGGTTACCCACGCCACTGCGCCATAGGTTATCATGGGTCTTATTACCCTTGTATATAACCATATGGTCATTTTGGGGTTTAGACCCCAGTTTTTCCTACATATTCCTCTACAGCTTACAAGAGCTATTGTAGCTTTATGTGTGAGTTTTTTGAGATGTTGATTCCATGTCAGCCTTTGGTCAAATATGACTCCGAGATATTTGGCTTTAAAAATTAAAAAAACCGATAAGATCCATTTGATTTTATCGGTTATTTTAATTTTTTCCGTTTTTTGCAGTTTGACCCTCAATTTTGACTTCAGATTCGTGTTCAGCGGTAAAAAATATGTCGGAAACACCCAGCATAGACCACTTTTTTTTGTGGACCTGTGTAATATATCAATGTCATTATTGTGTACTTTTTATTATATTTCTTTACAATTTCATTTATTTATCTATCTTCTGGATAATATTTCACCAAAATTATCAAAGTTATATTAATAATCATTGAATGGTTATTAACTTATGCTTAATTGAATATATTTCTGTTCATGTTTTGGATAACCAACAGCAAGTGAAAGCTATATCTATATATAAAGAGTTCTAAGGCTTTGTATAAGGTATTCTTAAAAAATGTTAAAAATAAAATTCAATGACTATTCACCCATAGTTGTTGCGTTGCTGTATATCCCTGTGTTTTCTACATTGGAACAATACTGCTTCTCCAGTCGGGCAGTATTTTTTGCATCTCACAAGATTATATTTATTAAAAAACCAAGTAATTCTTTGAGGTCTATTGCTGTGCCCTTTTTCAACATTCCCAAAGCTTCTTTTTTTACTTTTTGCTGATTGGATCTCCCATAGCGACAACGTCATTTGTTGTTTCAACTAGTTTTTTTATCAAACTTTTAAAATAACACAAAACACTTATCCAATACATATAACCATGAGAAAATAACATTTTAAGAACGAGAAAATTTTAAAATCGAGAATAGTAGACATACTTTGTGCAAATAAAATAAAATATGTATATTAAGCTTTTAATAATAGATGGATACTTACTTATATTTATTAAATTCTACTATAACATTCCAAATATCACCAACAAAACCAGAAACTTTTTTTGATGAATTGTCTAGTATTATAAAAGGGCTCACCTAAAAAAATAACAAATTGGTTATCCCTAAATTCGCAAGTTTTATATAATAAGAATATTAAAAATGAGACACAGAACAACTGAAGATTCTCTGATTAAAAAAAAGACGATTAAACGAAACATATTTGAATAAAATATTATTCGCTTCCGAAATACCAAAAACTTATTTGATATCTAAACAAACAATCATATTTATGACTTCGGTAGTGTGAATATAATTCATGAAATTGATTTTACCTAAAAATTGATACAAAATAGTTCCTATTCTTCAGTCAATAAAATTTCTGGCTTTTGCTTAATGTTCTCTATACATTTAGCAAACAATATTCTAGCTTAACATCTAATTTATTAGAATATTTTTACTATTTAATCTATTTTTCTTAATTACTTGTTTTTTTGAATTAATTTTCTACAACTCACCTCGTTTACAGAGACTCTTAAAATATTACTGTTCTCCCTTTTAGGTGTGACTAATTTCGTACAGGTTTTTATTATAGAAACAAAATTCTGTTTATCTTCTTGCCATAAAAATATTCTTTCTATATTCTTACGAAGAATTTTGAAATTATCCAAGCAGATTCGAGATGGTAGGTCATGCGCAGACGCAGCAAACTACAAAATCCCAAAAGCCATAGAAAATTTTATTTGTTTATTTACAATATAAAAAAAATAATAACAAAACGTATCTACACTGAGAAAAAATTTGTTTTGTAAATAACAAACAGATTTATTTATGGGTGACATTTTTAATATTAACAAAATTTGTTTTTATTAAAATTTTGTCGTTATATATAATCGTTTATTAGCTATCCAACATTTAAATGTTAACAAATATACTTGAATATTCAAAGATAACTTGATATTTTTTTCTAAAATTTACTAATAAAATATGATTCCATAAATATTAACAAAGCAATATATTTTAAGTCATTTAATAAATGGCAGTCTGATATTTTTAATAATAAAAAATTATAATTAGTATTGATCATAAATATTTGTATTTAATTTCAATTTATTAACTATTAAAACATGTTTATTTAAAGCTATTTTGTCTTTTACGCATTTAAAGAATATTTTCTTATTAATGTGTTGTTGAATTACCAGCGACACAGGGTAATACATCTGTTTGATAGCCGGGGATTGTGTGGCGATGACATTTTCAGTCATATCAGTGCACCTTAAGGTTTCTCCTATTTCTGGTAATAACTGCCCTCAAACGTATATCCTCTATTTGGGTTAAAACGTCTAACTTTTTAGGTGTTCCACAGTATTCAGGTGATATGCTTCTTTGGAAAGTTACCACTCATTGTAAGAGACAATTCCCATTACTCTCAAAAATGCGTGCCCAAATTTAATGGATGATATATCTTTGGCACTACTAGTCAATTAATTAATCTCTACCTACCTTTTAGGTAGTTCACAGATGCCAACACTCTGGTAAATCTAATTTATTTATTAAAGACCAACCATGATATCCATAATAGTGGCAAAAGCACCCGAATCTAGCAAACCCACTAAACGAATCCCTAACACATCATCTTTTAAGAAAGATCGTTCATCCCTTTCTACATGATCTAAAATATAGTTTGATTGGTGGAAGGTGTTTAATTGAGTCGTCCATCTTTCCGCCGATCATCCTCGACAACCTAAGATCTACAACTACAATTTCCGTATTTACAGTTGGGGCAATTCCGAACTGTAAATCTTTCACGCTGGCATTTGAAACATTTAATGAGTTTAGGCAAAGCAATGGAAACATATAACCGACTTACTATTTGGAGACGGAAGCTGCCTGAGTAGTCAGAAATTTTACTAACATAAGCTAAATCCCGTTTTATAATTCCAGTCCTTCGAGTTGGAGGTTCAACATGGTTGTTAATAAAAATCTCCTATGTTTTCCATTTTCCTACATTGTTCCCGTAACTCAGCAATGGTAGTCGAAAGATGGATCTCGTAACCGATCCAAATAAAATGGATGCAAATTCATTATTGCTAAATAAACCCCTATAGTTTCTGACGGATGTTGAATACGTTTCTGTAATTCCTCAAACAACGCGTCTAAATGATTGTCAAAGAAAACTGTGACAGACGTACGCTTACCATCTCCAGAAAACTTTCTTAAATCTCACTTTTGAGGTGGTACTATTTTATGAGCCTATGCAAAAGAAAATTTTGAGAAGAAAACATGAATAATTCTTACCACAGCATTTATTTTTCGCCATGGACTTATGCGTTGATGGATGAACATCGTAGGGATAAAGAGAAATGGAGCGCCAATGATTTAAAGTTAGTGGACGCTGTGGACGGCTCAGGTTTCTCCGGGCGTTTCATGGTAATTTTAATTTTAGTTTTAGTTTAGTTAGGCATCCTGTTATTGGAATTCGAAGCCTAGAAAAGGGACTTGGCTGGTCGTAGGGGACAAAGGTTCTTAGAATGGAAAGACATTCACGTGAGGGTCGTGTTCGGTGACAGTAGGGCCACGGCCGACTATAGCTGCATCAATTAAGGCGCACTGAGCTTGGCTACTATATTCCACTCTACCTCTTCTGAGCTGGAGAAACCAGCCCATCCCTGCAGTGGTGCCGTTATTAACCCTCTGGCACTGGCAACATGATTATCTTTGTTCCGACGTTAGGTTAGGGTGGCAGGCTAGACTTTTATCTTTTTTGGGTGTCTCTGTGCTGTTGATGAGAGTCATACAGCATAGGTTTCATTAGGCTGTTTTAGGATGTGGATATTCCTTCATGTTAGCTAAGCGTGGTATCTACTTTTTTGTCTTTCAATAATATCTGGTTTTGTTTTTGACCCACCACACATGATACTTTTAACCGATTTTAGATTTTAAAGTATCATCATCAAAAATGATATAAATTTGTTGTGGGCTTCTTTAAAATGTTTAAATTTTGTTCAGACAGTGTTAAGGAACCAAATTATATTGAAACAAATAAGTTAATTCAGCTTCGGAATATAAAATAATTTTGGGCAAAATAGTAGGCTTCTGTACCATAGTGCGATGGTGCGAAATCCTTCAGTCCGACTCACACTTCGCCGGTTTTTTATGAAAATAGTACCGCAAAAATCCAGATAAATTTACAAAAAACTCGAGGTCGAAAAAAACCTTCTGTATACAGACAGGAAAGTAAAAATTATATGTACAATTGGAGAATAATGATTAGTAACTACATATTTTCAAAATAAATATCAACCATACATAAAATGAGTATATTATTTTTTCTATTTAGCCAAATTTATGTCCTTTTTACAGATATAAGGAAAGTATAGGAATCATGATTTTTTTCGACCTCGAGTTTTCGACGGATTTTAACGTTTTGAGGTCCCCTGAATCTGTTTTGACTATTTTCGCGATGATGTCTGTGTGTGTGTGTCTGTGTATCTGATTTTGGGCAGAGTCGGAACATCTGGGAGGGTACTTTATAGGTGGTCATTTTATTATTTTATGAAATATATCTGTTATTTACGTTTGGAGAAGAAAATTCTTTAAATAAAAGTTACTTCTAATATAATTTTTTTTTCTAAACAAAATTTTCCTAAAATGGTCCGTATTCGAGAAATTTGACAAAATGTAAAAAAAATAATTTTTTATAAAAATTGTTCAAATAAAAGTTGTTTGTAATATAATTCTCTATAATTTTTATTATATACATAATTTCTCTAAAATGGACCGTATTCGAGATATTTGAGAAAATGTGTAAATTTCGAATTTTGAAGAAAACTCAAAAACGGATAAAGAAAAAAACATTAAATTTTAAACTTAAGTTTTATTTCAGCTGACGTGAAATGATTAGATTTTAGACAAAGTCGGAACATCTGGGTATACTTTATGGGAGGCCGTTTTTATATTTTATGGAATATATCTGTTATTTATGTTTGGAGAAGAAAATTGTTTAAATAAAAGTTACTTCTAATATTATTATCTATAATTTTTGTTTTATGTCAAAATTTCCTGAAATGGTCCGTATTCGAGAAATTTAACAAAATGTGCAAAATTCTGATTTTTATGAAAAGTGTTGAACTAAAAGTTGTTTGCGATATCGATCTCTATAATTTTTGTTTATACATGATTTTTCTAAAATGGGCCGTAATGGAAAAATTGCAGGAAATGTGCTAAATTTAAATTTTTCAATATTTTCGTTTTTAATGAATATCTATATAAAAATGTTTCGAGGTAGATTTATGTGGAAAATGTATATATTTAGTTTATCCTTTAAACATATATAGAGGTGCTGCAAAAGGTTGTACAAAATAACCAGAAAAAGCCTATAATAACTAGATAGGAAAGTCATGTGTTGGCACATCAGATTTTTAAATAACTTTTTGCTATTTTATACACCTCTAACAATACGCCGTTAAAGCACAAACAAGAGTGTGTTATACTAAAGAATTATATCATATTTAAAAACAAATTAAAAACCTTCACTGGTCTATATGTGTTGTAATTAATTATTTTAATGAATTATGAACAGTTACTTACCACGAAAATTAATAATGTAAAATAATACATTTCAAATAACTGAATCCGTCTACGCCGCAAAATTAAATAAATCATATTAAGTTAGACATATATATGTCTGAAAGGAGAAAATATTTGATATGTTTATCAGTACGAACCTCATCTAACATACAAGGTAGACACATTTAATAGCTAAATATTATAATAATATTAATATTTACGAAAAAAATATACATGTGATATAAATGGGTAATTGGTTTACTGCCTTAATTTATTTTAGTTCGGAATAGGCTTCTTCCTATTTAATTCTGAAATATCTTTCTGATAAATAGTATTTAAGTAGTTAAGAGTATTAATTGACGTGATAGGAATATGTTTAGTTTTTAAATCAGGCCTTCATACCATACTTTGTTAAAAGCCTGAACCACATCCAAGAAGATGGTGCAGCAATATTTTTTCTTTTAGAAACTTCTCGATAATATATGTGATTCTATGAACTTGGTCGATGATCTTAGGTTTTTTCTTTTATTATAGGTTTTAATCTCTTTTGAATTTGTCAGTATGAAAATAAAATCAGTTTAGTTTTACTGCTGCACGTTTTTTACTTTCAAATAAGAACCTATTCTGCCAAAATCCAAAAGGTTATGTGCCCAGACTGCTTTTTTTGCGCCTAAGTATTGAAGAAAGTAAGAAATTTTCATATTTGTAAAAAAAGATTGTTGACACTTTGGTGACGCATAGCAGAAGAAGTTATGAAAACTTTTTTGAGGATGTCCCAAAGCGAAATATCTGCTAGAATTGTAAAATTTAATGGGTCAAATTTCCAACTGTGGAAATTCAGCATGTTAGAATAGTATTAAAAGGGGTTCTTCATAGGAACACTATATAATTTACACGTGAACGCTGCTGCACACCGAGGTAGAAAAAGATTTTTCTTCGAGTGTCCTAGACTAAAGTACCAGATTCTTTGAAATGTACAACATCTATTACAACTGTAAATTGTACTAGACTGACAAGATATGTATGCCCTGTCCTATTT